GATCCACCAAGAGAGAAAATAATTAGGACCAGCTTCTTGAACTGGTACATTGATTCTAGAATCTATTCCAATTTATTTAGCCTCAGACAGAATCATGTTCTTCTATCATCCCTGGTCTACTGTCCTCAGCAAGATATGCAGGTTTCATTCAGTGAATGAATTCCTTTGTTCTCATTAACATCCAATCCTCCCTCTTCTATGTAATTGTCTGTCTATATCATGCCATGATAGTTCTTTCAAAGTAAATTAAATTGTTGATTCTATTCTCTTTAAAAAGAAGCACAACACTTGATAGGCCTCTGGAAGCAATAGACATCACATTTGGTTTCCCTGTTCTAATATGTAACTAAATAACTCATAAAGCTACCATCTTTGGGTGGGCCCCTGTACAAAGGGTCTTTAACTTGTCTAGGCTAGTACAATCAACTCTGACCTTGGCTTTTATGATGCAGCATATACAAAGGGCCCAGAAGTGCCATGGCTGATCAGGATGTTGTGTAAATTTTGTAGCAAGACTTGACAGGAGAATCATAGTAGAGAACCCTAGGGTTTTGGAGCAAAGCTATGTGCTCTTCAAGTCACTATCTTTTTTGCTTTATTTTAAGAAGCTCTTGGCTAGAATTGGTTCATGACATTCACTGAACACTTGATCATGGCACACCAGAGATCTGAGCTGTTCACTATGAATTGGAAGCTGTTTGATTCACTAACCCAAAAATCATGCATGTACAGCATCATTCCATCACAAAGTGGAAGTGATTTGTGAAAGACCTGACTTCAGAATGGCCTGAGACAACAGTAAGTTGAATAAACAATAATTGGCTCACATTCTGCTGTTCTCCCACACCTCTTGCAACCAACAACTATGACCTGGCAGTGAGTTCCCTACAACCAGCTGGCAGCAAAGGAGAAAAAAACATCTGTCCTGATTAAATATGCCTCATAAGTTTGAGGTGACTATTGTGGCACTGTAGCCCCACTCAGATTCCCTAGAGAACTGTGAAGAAGAAGGGCATTCCCAGTGCTCCACTTTGCCCAGAAGATAAGACATTCAGGTGTAGGCCTCTACTCGGATTCATGAGCTCTGGCTAGTGGTTGGAGTTATGTAGTCAGGGGTTTGAAAGATTAGGGGAAAGTTACATTGGTGGACCTCGCTCCCTGAATAGACCCAGAGTGTGAGAATATTTGTGTCTTTTTAAAACTTATTATTATAAAGATGTGGGGTACAATTCAGGGTTAGGTATACAAACATTGATTATGCAGGTATCCTTGCTGATGAGGTGTACCCCTCCCTCCCCTGGCAGTTTCCCACTACCGCCAATCCCTTTCTTACAGTATTATCATTGTTCAAGGTCCACTTATGAGTGAGACATATGGTACTCTCTTCTTTGTTTCTGTGATAGATCACTGAGTATGATTGACTCTAAATCCATTCAAGTTGCTGCAAAGTTCATAAGTTTGTCCTTCTTTATGGCTGCATAATATTCCATTGTGTATATGTATCACATTTTTTATTCCAATCCAGCTTTGATGGGCAACATGGTTGATTCCACGTTTTTTGTTATTGTGAATAGACCTGCAACAAACATACATGTGCAGAATATTTGTGTCTTACATGAACACTCACCCAAGGGCTTCCTGCAGAGGAGGACCTCAACAATCATGAGGATGTGATATGCTGCCCTAGGTGGATGTCAGTAAGTCTCTTTCTCCTGTTACTCCAGTGATTGCTCAAGGGCTCACATATGAAATGATCCTGGTGGAAGGTGCAGAGGTCATGTATGGACTCAGGCACATAAACATCCAGTCACCAAGTCCACTCTGACTACTGCTAAGTGCCCAACAGACACACTCAGAAGCCACATCCGATCCTCTAATAGAATGCCACATCCTTGGGGGACAGTTTGCTTTGTGGTAGCGGATTGTTTGCATTGGACCCCTTCCATCATGGATAGGGCAATTCTGCTCACTAAAATAGATAATTCATTCACTCAAAAATATTTATTAAGAAGTCTGGGCACTGTGGCTTAAGCCTATAATCCCAGCACTTTGGGAGGCCCACAGGTTTGAGACCAGCCTGGGCAACTTGGTAAAACCTCGTCACTACGATAAATCAAAAATTAACCGGGCATGGTGGCATGTGCCTGTAGTTCTGGCTACTTAAGGCCGAGGCGGAAGGATCACTAGAACCCAGTAGGTTGAGGCTGTGGTGGCCATGAGCGGGTCACTGCACTCCAGCCTGGGTTACAGAGTGAGACTCCAACTCAAAAAAATTTTTTTACTAAGTATCTACTGTGTACCAGGCACATTTCTAGGCACTTGGAATGTATCAGTGAACAAAAAGGGGCAAATGTTGTTGCCCTTAAGAAACTTAACTTCTATATGATGACCACTTGTATACCTAAACCTGAATTGTACCCCACATCTTTAAAATAAATAAATATAAAAAGAAAAAAGGGATGATGTGCAGTAAGCACAATAAATAAGCAAAATTTATAGTGCACTTGAAAGGGTAAGTGCTGTGGAGAAAAAAGTAAAGCAGGGACATGAAGTTAAATTGGCTGAAGATGGAAGACAGCAGTTTCAATTTACATGTGATTGCAGGCAGACCTGAAAACCTTGCGGGATATCTGAGAAGAAAAGCATTCTAAGCAGGGAGCAGCCAGGGCAGAGGCCCCCTGTGGGCATTTGCCTGGTATGTGTGAGAGCACCAAGGAAGGGCGAATGTCTGCAGCAGCGTGATGAGGGGAGAAGCCATGGGGGTGATCACCAGGTGGATTCTCGTGGACACTGCAGGCCTCTGGCTTTTGATGTAAGGGAGACGAGGTGTCACCACAGGGTTTTGAGCATGATGACCTCAGTGCTAAGAATGGCAGTAGGGAAGAAAAGGACAAAGAAGGCAGCCGAGAAGGCCCCGTGGTAACAAAAGTGAGCGGTGCCTCAGACAAGGGTGGAAATGGGGAATGATCAAATGAGGCGGTATTCCAGGTATAGATATTTTAACTCTTTATTGTGGAAAATAAAAAACATACACCAGTAGAGAAGCAAAAGCCCTCCTTCCCCACGAGGTACCTGTCACCCAGCTCCAGAAATACTGCATACATGACACCTCCTGCTTCATTTACAACCCTACCCACTTCCTACTCTCCCTCCCTTCATCGGATTATTTCAAACCAAATCACATCATTTAATCTACTAATTTAAAGCACACTTAATCTACATTAATACATTTCATCTAATACTTCAATATAAGCTCTAAAAATGAGTCTCCTTTTTGTTTGTATAAAAAACATGACTAATACTATTATTTATATACCAAACACACAGTAATTGCTTAATATTAGTGTACAGATTTCCCCTAGTATTTGAGTGACTTTTTTTCTTAACTTAATTTGAGTCATGATCCAAACAAGCCCACCCATTCCTTTTAGTTGGTAAGTCTAAGTCTCTTTTAATTTATAGTCTTCCCTATAAAGATCAAATCAGTGTAATTGGAATATCTAAATATCTATCACCATAAATATTCATCTTTTTCTTTATGCTAGAAACATTCAAATTAATTTTCTTTATTTATCTCCTCTTTTCTCTCCCTTTCTTTTTTTTTTTTTTTTTTTTTTTGAAAGCAGGATTTATTAAGAGGACAGAAAAGCTCCCATAGTGGGAGGGGATCCGAAGGGGTTGCCCTATTTCTTTTGCCATTTATTTGTTAAAGAAACCAGGTCATTTGCCCTAGAGAATTTTTCCTTAGTTTGCACTTTGCTGATGGTAATTCCATGGTGTTGTTAACAAGGAGGTCCTTTGTTCCTTGCATTTCCTGTAAAAGGGCAGTAAGAGCTAAAAACTTGATTGGGTTCAGTTTCGATATTTGGAGCATGGATACTTTGTAGGTGTTATGGAATTCTGGCACCAGGAGGCCTATCATGTTTGGCTGTCGAGTTTTTCCGTTCACCAATGTTAACCAATGATGTATGGTAAAACATCCATGCAAAATAATGGTTTCCTATTTCTTTCCTTCTTTCTTCATTTATTAGAAAAACTATTTTCACATCAGCTATTTGGCAACTCAAAACATAGTTCAACAAGAAAGGTTACAATCTCTGAAAGGGGTGCTTACTGCTATTCAGCTGGTAACTATTTCCTGGCCTTTTTAGTGGACAGACTTAGGAAATGCATCTTTTTTAAAAAAAGAGAATTTATCATGAGTTTATACTGATATTTTCAATTTAAATTGTGGTTTGTGGAGTTGTTACCTAACTTTTTCATATCTGTATCTCTTTTCTCTGATGCCACAAGCCTTTGTCCCTAATAACATAAGTACAATTATCTTTGGCTTTTGGAAGCTCAGCCCTGCATCTCCAGCTATTCTAATGATTTTGTCAATCTCTTCATATTCTCTTTCAAATTCCTCATTCCGTAAACCATTAGAGATGGATTCTTCTGTCTGCAACTTAATCCCAACAGTGTAAATTGTGCAGGCAAAATGTGAAGGGGCTTTGCATTGTCTGTGTGGTACCTGGGCAGCCACTCACAAACCAACCAAAGCGAGTGATTCTCCAGTGAGAGAACTGCTGTAAATGTATTAAGCAGAGATCCGGGTCACTCAGTCTTTCTTGTCTCTGGGCAAACCCCAAATCACCAACATTTGTGCATCTGTTTTTCAAGAACAGCCCTTCTCTCTCCTTATTCCCCTTCTCTAAATCAACCCTAAGGAATACACTAAGTTAGGCCCAGAGTGGTAACACAGGGTCTTCTCTTAACTGTGGATCCTGGTCATTTTAGCAAAATCTTTTAGAGTCCTTCCCAGTTCTACTTCAGAGCAGATGATTGAGGAGTCCTGGGAGTGAATGCACATGGGTGAGAAGAATTGGAAAGCATGAGTTAGTTGGTCACTCCGGGGGTCTTGAGGACCCCTGGGGCTTTGGATAAGGGGCAAGTCACATGAGTACGACATGCTTGTAACTTTCCATGGTGTCTTTGTTCTTAGAGATGATGAAGGTGAGTTATCTGGGAGCTGAGTTATGTGGGAGCTGTGTCTTCACTTCAGAATAGACAACCAAGGCATGCTGGGATGGAAAGAAGATGGAAGGAGAACTGAAAATAGAGGGGAATATAAGGCTCTAGGTAACGGTGGCGAGAAAAGAGTGGGGAGATGAAACACACCTTTTCCTCTAGAAGTGTCCTGGAGGTATTGGCTGTGGAGAGAAAGGAAATCATTGAAGTGTGGGCATAAGGAAGTAGTCACAACCCAGTCTGCCAGCTTGTTCCCTAGATTCCAGAAGCCACTGGGCCTTCTCTACTGATTGTCATGTTTTCCCCACACTGACCCTCAACACGTCCCACAACACATTTGATTTTTTGTTTTACCGTTTCTTAGCCCAGCCCTCTGCAAGTTCTTCTCAAGCTACATTGATCTGTAAAGTCCTCCCTCAATATCAAGCTAAAAAACCTCACTGGATGTGGGGAAAAGGGAAAACTTCTACACTGTTGGTGGGAGTATAAACTAATACAACCTCTGTGGAAAACAGTTTGGCGATTCCTAAAAGATCTAAAAATCAGCCGGGCTCGGTGGCTCAGCCTGTAATCCCGTGCCTTGGGAGGCTGAGGTGAGTGGATTGCCTGAGCCCACGGGTTCGAGACCCACCTAGGCAACTTGGTGAGACCTCATCTCTATAATAATCAAAAAATTAGCCGGGTGTGGTAGCACGTACCTGTAGTTCCAGCTACGCGGAAGGCTGAGGTGGAAGGATCGCCGGAGCCCAGCAGGTTGAGGCTGCGGTGGCCGGGAGCGGCCACTGCACTCCAGTCCGGGCGATAAAGTGAGACTCCAACTCAAAAAAGATCTAAAAATCGATCTTCCATACAACCCTGCAATCCCCCTACTTGGACTATACCCAGAGGAACTCAAATCACTCTATGAAAAAGATACCTGCACACGTATGTTTATTGCAGCATTGTTCACAATAGCAAAAACATGGAACTAACCATGCTACCCATCGAAAGAGGACTGGATAAAAAAAAAATGTGGCATGTACACATGATGGAATATTATGCAGCCATAAAGGACAAAATTATGAACTTCACAGCAACTTGGATGAACTTACAGTTTATAATACTGAGTAATCTATCACAGAAACAAAGAACTAAGTATCACATGTTCTCACTCATAAGTGGACCTTGAACAATTATCACAATACTATAAGAAAAGGATGGGCATTAGTGGGAATCTGCTGAGGGAGAGAGAGCACACCTCATCAACAAGGGTACTTGCATAAGGAACATTTGTATACCTCACCCTAAACTATACCCCACATCTTTAAAATAAAACAATAAAAAAAGAAAAAGAAAAAGAAACCTCACTCTCTTCCTCTACCAGATGTTGAGAGATTATTTTTCTTTTAGTTTTAATTCTTGCTTAACTTACACTACAGTCATCTCACCACCCACAGTTTAACAAGTTGCCCTCAGAGCTGAACACATGATGGCCTGTGAAAAACACTCCCTCTCATACTAGCATGTTCTAGTTTTTTATTTTATCGCCATGGTTTCCTAGAAATGGAACTCTAGTGAGAGGAAGGTTTAGCAGATATGATTTGTTAGACGACACATACAAAAAATTTTAAATGTCAGAGAAAAATAGAGAATTTATCAAGGGAACATAGTAATTTCATGGAGAGAAACAGCCTGAAAAGAAGATGTACCCCGAGGTACTCACAGTTTCTCTCTGTCTTACTATATTCTTACCTCAAACCTTTTGAGATTGAATATATTTTTAATAAAAGGATGAAAGCTATGTACTCTCTCCCCAGAATAATGGTCATATGCACAGAACTTCGCATATGATTTCAGGGCCTTCATGCAAATTTGAAGAATGGGGGAAGAAATCTTTCTACAGCTCATTAATACTTCAAGTATTTGAAATATAACTAGCCCATCAACAGAATGCTTGGCTTAAATGGTGTTTCAACAAAGATGTCAAGAATAGAGTATGAACAACAGCAAAATGATCAAGGTAGCTCCATAAGATAAGATACGCTCAGTCAACGCAGGAAAGTAGGCGGCAGTTCTAATTCTACCATTCAAAGAGAGTCCTGATTAACAGAGGTGGCTCAGAGATCCAAGTGACAGACAAAACAAATAATCAGGTGACATATATTGGTCAGATATAGTAACAGGCTGTACAAGCAGCAGACATCATGGCAAGTCAGAGGACTTGGTCTTAGCTTTGTCTTTACTGGCTTTGTGACCTGAAGAAAGTCGTCAGCCTCTCTTAGTCTTGTGCATAGTTACTTCATTTGTAAAACAGATTCAGCATCAGGTTACAACTGAAATTCTTACTGGGCACAAAGATACTGGAGAATTTAAATTCCCAAAGGAGGTGCCATATACTCTTATAGATTTATATAAGATATAGAACTGTTTGTTTTCTTGACTCCAAGAGCCCGGGTTTATCATTTAGATCAAGAAAATGTGAGGAGGAAAATAAAGATTTGTTAAAGAGATTTCTTTAGAAGGCAAGATCAATTTCTGTGCACTCATAAGTTTCTATCCAGAAGCTCCACCCAGAAAGTTCTATCAGGGAGTGGGGGTGGGGGAGTAGAGTTTGCTACTTTATAGACTCCAGCCTGGAGAAGGAGCTCTCAGAAAGTCCTCTTGAACCTCTGAAATGATTTTGAAGTGATTTTCTTGATATTGGACGTAGAGTTCCTATCTCAGAAAGCCCAAGTGGACCACAGGTTCAGTTACTGAGCAGTGCTTTTCTTTTCTTTTAAAATTTTTTATTTTAATACAATTCGGGGTTAGGTCTACAAATGATCATTATGCAGGTACCCTTTTTAATGAGGTGTGCCCATATTCTGAGAGTTAACAAAGAAGGTTTCCCCTTATCTCCTATGTACTCTCAGTAAATAACTTCAAAGAATTCTTAACTTCCCTGCAGACTGTGCCCAACTAACTGAGAGAAATGAATCCTACTTACTCTGTTTTCTTAGTAGTCACAGGTTTGAACAATATAGTATCAATTTAATCCTAAGTCTTGCGATTTGTATAACTTTTGTGCACTAATAACAGCATGTAGTAATGATGTCTTAGACCTTATGAACTCCCTTTACTTTCTGGCAAGCTTGATTAACAGCTCTGCCTTGTGTTACTGATAAGAAACTGTGAGATACCTCTGGTAACCAGTGGCAGGAAATGTCATCACTGACAAAATGTGGCTATAACTTAAGTTCTGTACAATGCTCTGCCAGTCATGTAGTCAATGTATAGGTACCAACAACCCTGAACTTATAAAAGCAGACTGTGAAATCTGAAGGGGAAGCAGGACCATTTTAGAAAGGCCAGGAGCCTGGCTCTGCTCCCTGGATTTGAATTCAGAAATAAAGTTCTTTCTACCAGTTTCCTGCCACTTGATTTATTGGTGTCGAGGCTTAGCAATCAAGTGATACTCAGACTATAACAATACTTACAATACTACCTAGCACACAAGAGGTGCTCAGTAAATGTTTGTTGAATGACTGAGTATAGTTTGCAGCTAGAATCTCTTCCAGGAGACATACCTATCTCTTCCAGGAGACATACCTTTCTCTTCTTCTCTCATCTGAATAACGTGGATCTCAGAATATACCAAGTCTCCCACTTGAGGGTGTACTGTAAAGAAAAGACAATACTTTCGAGGCTGTCCCTGTTAGTATTGCATGCTGCTGATGCCTCTTCCCAAGTATCCTCTCGACTCTTCATGGACACACAATGAAGCAATTATTTGTTGGGAATATCTGAGTTTGAGACAATTTAGGGAGACCATAGGCATTTCCCAGGGCTTAAATAACATTGTTTTTTCCTGACTGAGGCCAGGAGAAGCTTCTTGCAGGGGAATCCTCACCATTGTCATACAACAGCTGCAGCTCCACCTGGGTGGGACAGATGGAATGGGAGGACTCTCCTGAGCCTGGAGGAGGGGTCCTGTGAGACACAGAAACACATGATGATCCCTGGGACTGTATAAGGAGCAGGAGAGTGAGATGGCCAGAGAGAGAGGCAGAGGAGAAAGGGGTTTGGGAGAAAGCCAGCAGTCAATAGGAAACTAGAAACCTTGAATGGTTTAACTGGAGTCTCTATAGGTCTATATAGAGGCAGACTGTTCTTTGGAAAGAAACCCTAAGGCTGTGGTATGGGCAGGTTGACTGGGGACAAAGTTAGAGGGACTCTGACATCATAGTAACAATCATCCAATCGTTAGAATGGCCACTCTTAGTTGGTTAAGAATACTGGCCTCAGCCGGGCTCGGTGGCTCAGCCTGTAATTCCACGCCTTTGGGAGGCTGAGGTGAGTGGATTGTCTGAGCCCACGGGTTCGAGACCTGCCTGGGCAGGCGAGACCTCATCCCCACAATAAATCAAAAAATTAGCCGGGAGTGGTAGCGCGCACCTGTAATTCCGGCTACTCGGAAGACTGAGGCGGAAGGATCGCCAGAGCCCAGCAGGTCGAGGCTGCGGTGGCCGGGAGCGGCCACTGCACTCCAGTCTGGGCGACAGAGTGAGACTCCAACTCAAAAAACAAACAAAAAAAGAATACTGGCCTCATTATCAGGAATTAGTGACTAAATATCCTTACAAGTCTATGTCTGTACAATTCAAGAAGGAATTAGACATAATTCATACTCCAATCCCTGGCTCTAACCCAAGACTGAGACACTGACATAGACAGAAGAAGAGGGCCATATTTTCCAAATAGATGTCTAATGAGTATATGTGTGCCTATTTGGGCAAAAAAAAAAGATTGTTGAAAACTTAGATGTTCTTGGAAAATCTAGAACACTTGTATAAAGTCTAGAATCTAGTCATTGTAAGTGTAGTTATAGTAACTACATAGTCCTGTCTAACTACAGTCCTGTCTAGGACTATTTGTATCAGAAATATTCCTTGGTAACTTTTGGTACCATCCATTTAGATGAATGTATTAATTTCAAATACGAAACTGATCTAAACATGTGCAAAACCTGTAATACTAACATTAGCCAACAAGAACAGTTCTTGAAAGTTTCATTTTTGGCCAGTTTAAAGACTATGAATACGGGAGTATCTAGCCACAGGATCAAAAAGAAATAACTTGACCTAATTCTGTAACCCCACAGTTTTGCATATTGCATACTTGAGAAACAAACAAAAAAAGGCTCTGGCAGAAGCTGAGGCCTCACCTGGTTTCATCTCTTCGGAAACCATCTCCTGCAAAATAAAGCAAAGGTGCATTCGTGTCAGCAGAGGGAGCTCTTTCTCAAAGACTTCATACAAACACGGGCTGCTCAAGAGAGTCAGTTCAAACATGTGCCCAGTCCTGGATTCTCATGACAATGATGTGAAAAGGGATTGAACAAACCATATAACTTTGTTAGGGCCAGGGCTGCACACTCCTGAGTTAAAGATGCAATTATCTGAGATTTTATTAGGGCTCAGGTCTGTTTGAATATTAAATGTAACCAAATCATCATGTGCAGAATAGTGAGCTGTGGGTGAACTTCGATGAATGCCAGTGGTCATGCCCAGAGGAGACTTGGGCTCTGACTTAGGTTTACTAAGGAGTCTCTCAGGGTCACAGGTCCAGAGCTTCCTACATCCAGCTCAGTGCAGGGCACACAGAAGGTGCTCACAAGGATCTAGAGAGCTGAATTGAATTGGATTGGATTGGATTGAACTGAACTGAACTGAACTGAATGGAATTGAACTGAATGGAATGGAACAGAATGGAATGGAATGGAATGGAACTGAATTGAATTGAATTGAAAGAGACAGAGTTGAAGGATGTGGATAATTATTCTAGAACTGAAAAGGGTTTTGTGCCTGTCTCTTATACCAGGTGTTCTGGCATTTGAAGTGAGCCTGACCTGGCTTAAAGCAAGCAAGAAGCCTTTGGAAGCACAGAGCAGATAGTGCCTGAGAGACACCCTCCCCACTACCCACCCGTAAGGGAGGCCAACCTGGGGAGCCCAAGGCAGATGGGGCAGGAGATGGCAGGTTCCAGCTTAGACCCAGGGATAGAAGTTAGCCAGCTCCCATTCTCAGTCGTTTCTTCAGAGCCCTTTAGTTTATTCTGAATATTCATTTATGGTAGATTTAAGAGAGGGTGAATTATTTAACTGGCCAGTCTACCAAGAACCAAAGGAACTGCTCAAGGAATCTGTTTAGATACAATTTTTGAAATTTTACATTGCAAAATTCATCTTCCCTTCCTTTCACTTGAAAATCAGCCAGATAGGCTGGCTCAGTGGCTCAGTCTGTAATCCCAGCACTTTGGGAGGCTGAGACAAGAGGATTACCTGAGCCCATGGGTTCAAGACCAGCCTGGCAACATGGTGAGACCCATCTCTACAATAGATCAAAAAAATTAACTGGGCGTAGTAGTGCATGCCTGTAGTTCCGGTTGCTTGGAAGGCTGAGGCAGAAAGATGCCGGAGCCCAGCAAGTCGACGCCGGGGTGGCCTTGAGCATGCCACTGCACTCCAGCCTGGGCAACAGAGTGAGACTCCAACTCAAAAAAAAACAAGAAGAAAGAAAATCAGCCAGATAGATAAGAGCAGCTGTCACCTACTGCGTCTAATTGGGAAACTGTTCTTTAAAAAGGGACACATGTGGGTGAGCGCTGGGGGTGGTAAGCCCTGGGAGTGGTGAATAGGGAATGGTAGCTACTGAGGCTGGCCAAAACCTGAGCTGCCCGAGGCAGGGATGGTGCAGGGACCCTCACGAAGGTAAGAGAAGAGCACAAACCTGACTTCCTCTGGCGCCAGCAGTGAAACAGCAGGGCCACAGTTAGAAGAAGAACTCCGAGCAGCCCTCCAGCAGCTAGTGCAGCAATAAGGCCGTTTCTCTTGTCGGGAGTCGCTAAGGGGAAAGAAGTCCTGTGAGCCCCAGAGAAGAGGGTCAGGGCTTGCAATTACCCTTTCCTCAGTTTGGTCAGGATCCTGAGTCCTAAGAGAGGGAGGAATCCAAGGGACCAGGACTCATGAGGATACCCTGGACCACATCGTGTCCAGAAAATCTCACCCTGGGTGGGCCAGGCCTGGCGTACTAAAGGAAATAGTTCCCTCTACTTTCAGTGAATCATTTCAGAAACCAGCAATCTAGGGGAAATCCCATTGTGTATTCTTGTAATCTGGCCTTCTGGAATTTCCCCCAGACACCTAGAAAGAAGTCAAGGAACTGTGTTTTATCACCATCTAACTTGGGAAGGCAGCCTGCCTGGGAAAGAAAGCAAATATCACCACTGACTATGGGCATCAATTGAACTAATAGTAACTCAGAGACTGTCCTCCATTAAGTATTGAGACATCACGATGAAACGGCACCAGGTTTTTTCTTCATAGAAACCTGTGCCGTATGTTCTCTGAAGAGCAGAAGAGAAGAGGAAAAAAAAAAGATGGACAAATACAATCCATAAATTTTTAGGGGTTTTGGATTTTCCCATTGGGTCCATTCTCCTATCCTCTCATTCACAGCAAAAGAGATTTCATTCAATTTATTCATTCATACAGCAAATATTTACTGAAGCTACCTTGGGCCGGGCACTGATCTAAGCCTTGAGGATACAGCAGTGAATAAGACACTAAAGTTTCTGCTCTCATGGAGTTCATAATCTAGGGAAGGGAGACAGACAATAAGCAAATAAATAAATGTATAACATGCCCTGTGGTGATAAGGACTAAAAAGCAAAAGCAGGATGGAGGACAAAGAGTGATAGCGAGTGGTGTTTTTCATACAGATTCTTGGTCCCCGGGTAATCCAAATTCAGATTTCAGACATAAGCATCACAGACTTGACAGAAAACATCCAGATATTAGAACAACAGCAACACTGACGACCATTTTCATTTATAACTTCTAGCACAGAATGGCCATTTGCTGTTAGTGGCTGGTGACATTTCTGTCTACATCCTTCCCTTCCTGACAAAACCAGTAAACTTTCTGTGTGACTGATATGTTGTTCTACCTACAAACAATGTTCAGGGGCCAGCCGAGCTTCCTCATCATGACAACTGAACAAGAAGAGGATTGGAGGGAAGGGGAGAAATCCAGGGACACGGGGGTTTGCCACTACGTCCTCTGTTCATTTCCTCATTGCCTGCTGGGTCATCCCCCCCCGTCAGTCAGACCCACACCTAGGAATCCATATTCAATGGGCAGAAGGCAAGGTATTTCCCCTTCCTGATAACCCTAATTTTTAGAAGAGATGGCTATTTCTGGGAGGGAAGCAGCTGAAAGTTTTCCTCGTTAAAAAGGCATAAATTCTAAAGTTAAACTGTTGAGCTAGAATCCAAATTTCTCCACTGTGTGGCCAGGGAAAATTATTTAATCTCCCTTTGCCTCAGATTTCTCATCCGTAAAGTGGGGATAATAGTAGTTATACTATTGCTGGTGAATTAAGTGAGTTAATATATGCAAAATGCTTTGAACAATGCCTGGTTCATAAGTACTAAGTCTGTGTAAGTATTAGCTCTTATGTGTTGTCCTTGCACTATCTTCTATGCTTTCAGAAACTTCATGCTGCTCTCTGGTCAGCTTAGGGGACACCCCCATAAGTTAAGCCTACCCATGCTATGGATTGAATTGTGTCCCTAAATTCATATGTTGAAGTCCTAAATCCAATGTGATGGCATTGGGAGATGGGACCTTTGGGAGATAATTAGATTTAGATGACATCATGAAGGTGGGTCCCAAAGATGGGATTAGTGCCCTTCTAAGAAGAAACACCAGAAAGCTTGATCTTGCGTTTACTTTCTGCTATGTGAGAATACAGCAAGTAGGCAGCATTCTGCAAACCAGAAAGAGAACCCTTACAAGAACCCAACCATATTGGCGCTCTAGTCTCAGACTTTCAGCCTCTAGAACTCTGAGAAAATTAAATTTCTGTTGTTTAAGCCACCCAGACTATGGTATTTTGTTATCACAGCTCAGATAAGCTAAGACTGCCCACCTTAGTCCAGAACTCGAGGGTTCTGCAGTTTCTCTCCTGCTATAAATTATCCCATTTCTAAGCACAGAGATTTTGCATAAAGTCTATGAACAAAAAAATATTTAGAAGGAAATCCCCACCCCATCAAATACCAACTGAATCTTTTACATCAGTTTAATCTCTGAGATCCTTAATAGATGATGACACATTTGTTTTGCAGAGCTGTGGTGACAAGTGAAGCCAAAGCCCGTTAGGATCACAAAATAAAATCAGGTGTGAATTGACCAGCTCACTGCCTAGATCAGGGGAGGCTAATCCTTTCTAATGACCTTAACCTCCAAAAAGGAAGATGAATAATTTACACTTAAATGTAATTTACCAACAGATTCACTATTACCCTCCTCAGGGATTATAACCTCTGGGCTCCCTGAGGTAAGCTTTCTAGTTGATGAGCCTTCCTAGTTGATGAGCCTTCCTGCAGAAGCAGCACTTCCTACTTTACATGTCTCTCTAGATTTCAGGGCAGTCAGGAGTCTAAAGAAGGAGACCTTTGAAGCTTTCAGTTTTACTAATCCCTCTATCCCTCCCCCAAGCTGATTCTTGAAATGCCATTGAAATGACATCATCCATCCTAGTCTCAGTACCTCTCTGCTGGGGATTGCATCCAATATTGTTGTTCCCAGACTGAGATATAGACTCTGTATCTTTTAAGCAGAAATCTATTTGGGCTGTGGCACCCAGTTCTGGGAAAGCCTCTCAGTCCCTTGACTTGGGAGGGCCCCTCTTGATCACAAGATTTGCCTCAAGGGAGTTAAAAGGAATATTGAGCAGCAGCTGGGCTGTTAGCATAGCAAATCCTTCCCGGAGCCTCTAACTAAACTGTTCAGGTCCATGGCTCTGACTGACAAAGCTGGCCTCATATAAACAGCACAGCTCCCAGCTTATTAGAATAATTGATGGTATGAACTTTACTGTGGGGCACTTCTCTGAGATCTTTGATATTGCCCTCTGTATCTCTGAGCTGCAAGTTTGCATCAAGGTTCAAATCTAGGCTGCCATATATAAGCCCTGTGGCTTTATGCAAATTACCAAACCTCTCTGAGCTTCGCTTTCCTTTTCTGTAGACTGGAAATAATACCGTTATCTTTTAGGATTGTTATATGATCAACAGAGATGATATGCACAAAATTAATTCATGCAGGAAATATTGAGTGAATAAAAATATGGCACTGGTCAAAACAAGGATCCACTTCATGAGGCTAACATGAGAAGTGGGGGACGAGGTAGCAAGCAAACAAAGGCACACATGGCATGGCAGTTGTTTATACGTGCTACAAAAGAAGAATCAAGCAGGACCAGGAGAGGGAGTGCTGAGAAAAAGGACTCCCATGTTTAAAAAGGTGGCTGGGATAACATTTACTGAAAAAGTGAGTAGAATTCTGGAGAAAGTGAGGGAGCAAGCATGAAGGTGTCAGGGAAGAGCAAAGTCCCTGGGGTGGGAGCTTGCCTGGAAAGTTTGAGGAAGAGACAGAGGGCCAGAGTGACTGGAGTAGAGGATAGGAGAAAGTAGCAGGAGGCAAGGTCAGGTGACAGGATGGCTAGATCATTCAGGGCCTGGAGAATCATTGAGAGGATGTTGGTTCTCATTCTGAAGGGCATAGGAAGCCAGGGGAGGATTTTAAGGAGAAGAGTATGATTTAATAGTTCCCTCTGATGCTGTACTGGGAATAGACTGGGGAGAAACGAGTGAAGCCAAAGACCAGTTAGGATCGTTTCTCAGCCTTTTGGCTAATATCAAGTGTAGGATGTTACTGCAATAATTCAGGCAAGGAATGCTGATGGCTTGGACCAGATGGTGGCAGTTGAGGTGGTGAGAAGTGGTCAAATTCTGGCTATATTTTGAAGGTAGAACCATCAGGACTTGCAGGTGAATAGAATATGGGGAATGGAATTAAAAGAGAAGTCAAGGATAATGCCCAGATTTTTGGTCTGAGCAACCAGGAGGTCTCAGCCAGCATTACCTCACTGTATGTCCTTTCTCTGACCTGAGTTGTTTAATAGTCTAGTAGAAGAAACTGCCTATCACAGTGGAGGATAGGAAAATAAGAACAGAAAAAAGGAGCATAACAGGGATAATGATAGTTATGCCGGTTCCTAATTTGAAGAAATTTTCTGAGAATAAATAAGGTCAATAGAGATAGATCTTTTAAGCAGAAACCTAGTTGGGGTGAAAATCAAGAGTGTTGTATGAGTTGTTAGAGGTGTTAGCAATTATCTTGGTGCACTTGATTTATGTACTTAAATATATGAATCTTGAGTTCAGGGTGGAGTCTAGGTTGTGGGTTGAGCTTGGGGGTCGTCATAGGTCCTTGCCTTCAAAATCGCAAGACTGGATGATATGATATGAAGAGTGGGCATAGAGAGAGGAGTCTAAGGGCAGAGTCATGGAAGTCCCCAAATTTAGAGGTTGGAAATAAGATGAGATCTAGAAAGGAAATGTATAAAAAGTGTCTGGTGAATAGGTAGAATACCAAGAGAGAGTTATGTCCCAGAAGTTGAGGAGAAAAGTGTTTCAAGAAGGAGGAAGGGATTAATTGTGTCAAAAGCTGGAGACAGGTCAAGCAAAAATAGAAACTGAGAATTTTCTATTGTCGTTAACCACATAGAGATCACTATAGATTCCCTCAAGATTAATTTTGGTAGAGAGACTCAACCCTGATAATGGTGGATTTAAGAGAAAGTGGGAGCGGGTGAGTAGAAATAATTCTTTTGAGGAGTTTTATTGTAAAGGAAAGCAGTGAAATATAGTTTTCCAGTAACTTCTCAATAAAAGCTTGCTCCATTGGAGAGCCAGAGATGCAACTAAATCTGAGATACAGGAGGAAAGGAAACCCAATAGAGACCCTTTTTTTTTTTCCGGTCCCAAGGTTTCCTTGGTACCAATAGCTTGAACCAGTGTGACTTCTTGGGGAGAGAGGAAGAGAAGTCTATGAGCTAGAACTGTGGGATCCCAAAGTCTTATCTCCTCAATGGACAAAACTGGGCTTGGTATCTGTTCTCCATACTGACCTGCACACAATTTGTTTACTAAGACTCCCTCAGGCCTAGTAATGAAGTAAAGGAGTGCCTTATGCCTTTGGTTCTATTGATGTCTGATATATGCGGATTATTTACTGAAAGCAGAGGTAGTTAACACTCTAGGGTGATACTATCAGGTGACAGAGCTGTGTCCCACCCTAAAACACTGCTAATGAGGGAAGGTTCCTCTTGGGGGTTAGCATACAATGGATTAGAGTACAGACACACAAAATCACCTCCAAGAGGCAAATGGCTCTCAGCCAGCATTATCTCACTGTAGTTTCTTACTCTGACCTGAGTTATTTAATATTCTAATAGAAGAGATTGCCTATCACTGTAGAGGATGGGAAACTGAAAACAGAAAAAGGAGCATCACAAGGGTAATGTTAGTTATGCCCATCCCTGATTTTAAAATGTTTGCTGAGGACAAATAAGATCAATAGAGATTAAAACTCACCTTTCACAATGACATTCAGCACCCCGCTCTGGATGGGGCCATAGCCGTTGTCAGCAGTGCAGTAGTATCCCCCCACGTGGCTCTCTCTGATGTCAGGGATCTCCAGCTCTGCTCTCTGGGAACGCTGAGTTTTCTCTCCCAGACTCTCCTTTGTATCTTCTCTGTGCCAGGAGTATGTAGTGTCTCCTGTGCCTTCAACTGTGGAACAGACAAGGACCAGCATCTCCCCCTCAACTGCCAGGCCCCCAGAGGGCTGTGACTCCAAAAGCACTCCAGACACAGGGATCCCTATGTAAAAATGAGATGACAAGTGAAGGCCTGATGTGGGGAAAGGCAGGACAGGGCTAGGGTGTTGAGCAAGGTCATTTTTTATATGACTTCAAGATATACTCTTCAGCAGGTATTAGCATTATGGCCAATAGACTATGGACTATGGGCCCAGAACATCACCAAATGTGGTAAACTTTCCATCCTGATATACAAGACCTCAGGAAAGAAACATGGACTCGCCCTGGAGAAACATTTGGGCTTTGTCTGATATCCTAGCTGGCAGTCTGGTTCTTTTGAGGGATAGGTAATAGCAATAATGGCCATCATGGCGCTAGACTGGACCACACCCATCTGCAGAAATCCTGCTTTGGTACCTAAGAAAAACTGATATCTGTTGTGTTTATGTTTATATGTATTTATCTCCTTCTCTTCTGCTATACATGTCACAGGCACTCACATTGTTTGTTGCTATTGATTAGGAGCAGGTGGATGCTTGTCTTCTAAGTATTTTGCCCTAAGATCTGGCATTCTAGAATCTGCTAACTCAGTAGCAGAGTACCTTGTTTTCTTTTTTCATTTTGTTTTCCACATCTCTCAAATCTAACTCCATGAGTCAGCTCTCACTCTGAGATGATAGAGATTCAAAGGGAGACTGAGATTTTAGGGAAAGGGAGGTAAAAAAAAAATTATAATATTTCTTTTATTACATACCTTACTTAGCCTAAGCCCAGAGCCTCTGTCAGGATAACAAGACTCATCTTTGTTAGATAGTGCTCATGCCTGTAGGGAGAGGTGGGAAGATGCCATGGCCTGCCCCGTCTGGTTGTCCAGCACTCACCTTGCACATGGATCTGCAATGGGAGGCTGTGTTTGTAGACGCTATGGTTCTCTGTTTCTACACTGCACCAATACGATCCTGAGTTTTCTCTCCAGAGAGTTGGGATATGCAGTTCCGAGGACCTACTCCAGTCTGACAGGATAACCCTGTCATCTCTGAAGAAGATGAAGTGAAGCTGTGTGTCCGACCGCTCTGGGGGAAGTTGTGTTTCACAGCTCAGGTTTACTGAAGTCCCCTCTGTAGGTTGAGAAGCTGTGGCTTTCAACTCTGGATGTGGAAACAGTTCTAGAGAGAAAAAGTAAGTCAAGTGCACAGCATGAGAGTATTTAGCACCGTGGGAGAGGAGGGTGTGAATTCTCAGTCCCAGGAAACTTCAGACACACAGCAACACAAGCGTATTAAGCCCTCTATCGTGCTTTTCTTCCCAGGTTTATTCAGGGCCAAGCACCTCACTTTCTCTGCCTCTTAGAGGACTTATGCCCCTCATCTATCCAGGGTTTCAATATTGACCTCAAAGTCCCCTTTTACATGCTCAGTTTCCCCACCCTGACATCACTAAGCAAATCTATATGAAATGAAAGGCTTACCTTGAATTTTAATCTTTTTGTATGCTGATCTGAATGCATCATGGTTTTCCCCATATCCAATGCATTGATAAGAGCCACTTTTATTTGAACTGGTTTGTGGAATAAGAAGATCCCAGCTTTTATTAGAAGTAGAAATAATCTTTCCATTCCAAGTGTATTTCACAGCAGTCAGTTTATCTTTGCCCCTTTTCTGGCATCTCAGAACCAATGTGTCACCTTCAAACACAGAATATGGGGCCTGCAGGATTAAGGATTCTGGAAACAATAGAGAGAAGATATGTCGTTCAGGGCACTCCTGCTTCCTCCAGCCTCAGTGCCTCTTGAATTACAAGGGACTTTTTGCTTTCTTCTTTTTTCCTCCACAGGATTTAGCCTCCTGATCCAAATTCACTCATCTCCTTCCAAATCAGTGTGGCATGTTTCAGATACAATTCCTAAATAAATTTCAGACACATCTACTTAGACATTCAAGGTCAGATTCAAAATATAAGGATTCTAATACAGAGAATATAAGCGGAGAGGAAGTGTGATCAAAATCCCTGATATCATAGAATATGGTGAAATTTCACACTAGCCTGCTCCCCAAATCTCAGAGCAGGCGCTATCGAAGAAAGAGCATTTGAAGAACTATACTAGGAAATATCATCATTCACTGGAGTATGCTGTGCAGCAGAATCTTATCAGACACTATCTGGGGACAGGCAACTATGAGTGTGGTCCTCTGTGGAATTCTCATGCTGTTCAGATTCTAATCTGAGGTTAGCTCTGTCCTTTCTCTCTTTGATGACTGTGTGGAAAGCCCACCCCAATAGAGCCTTGCCCTGGAAGTGATCCAAATCATTACCTCTAAGCCAGGAAGAGATATGGGAGCTTGGTGCCAGTCAAAGAGAAAAGTAGGAATGAAGAAGAGACAGATAGCAGAACAGGTGGGGAGGAGAAAGACCTGAGGTTGGAGATTTCCCACTTCTGACTCCCTCAGTAGAACCTTTCCCTTTCTGCTTTATGCTTAGCATAATCGCGCGCGCGCGCGTGCGTGTGTGTGTGTGTGTGTGTGTGTGTGTGTGTGTGTGTATAATTTCTCCCTTACAAGAAAGGTTGCAAAGTCCTAAAGGCAGGATCTCAGGCAGTGCCCTCTTTGAATCCCCTAAAACTAACTCATTTCCTTGACTATGTAAGTGTGTGAGACTGTGAATTAATATTTCACATTTAAACTCACATTCCACTAATAGTTTGAAAAACACTAATAGTCAATGAGGGAGAACGGGAAACTGAAAGCAGCTGAGGTCAAGGAATAGAGAGGAATGAAGAACCCCAGTTCTTGGAAACTCCAGAGAGCTGAGATAAATGAAAACCATTTCTAAAGTTTTAACAAATTCACCTTCTTTCTCACCTGAAGAAAATAACAAGCGCACAGGGTTACTTAGAGGTGAGTCCTGGGCCTGGCATCTGTATTCTCCAGATTCACGAACCTCAAGTGTGTTTTCTGGAGTTTCTCTTAGCTTCTCCTTCCTAAGGTACCATTTTGTTTTCTCTGGTGCATAGAGGTGGAATCCATTGCAAGTCAGAGTCACTGTCTCCCCTTGGAAGACTGTGGTCCAAGGAGGATGGAGGGACATCACAGGTTTGTGTGCGGTTTCTAAGGAGGAGAAGATAAATGTGTCTGAGATAGAGGTGTCTACAGTTCCATCCACAGCTCCTTGTATGGGATAGACTGGAGGACCTGTTGTGGGAGAGTCCCTAAAAGGTTCCAGGGAGGCTGCTGTCTCCTCAGGTCACAGAGTCTCCAGCTGTGCTTACCTCTCCCCAGGCACAGTGGCTGCTCAGCTGTCCACAGGAACAGATTGACCTTTCAAAGGGCAGCCCTAGCAGTGATTGATGATGGGAGGCTCACAAACTCTCTTACCTTTTCTGGTGGACCAGGTCCTCGGGTTGATAATTGGAAACTGTATTTCCTCTGGACTCCCACTCAGGCTCCTCATGCTACAGACACCTCTCTAAGATGAGTGCTTGTGTGAAAAAGATACCAGAATATGCCATCCCCAGATCTGTCTCTTTAGCATGCAGATTATTTTGAGCTAAAAACCATTGAGGATGGCCAGAAACAGAAAAAATTTCAAAAACAGAGCACAAGTTTCCTTTAGTAAAGAAATTTCCATTTGTAAAATTGTCTCCCTCTCCCTTACCACGAAAAGGATGACTCTTAACAACTTTTTATCAATGGAGAAGGCATTGACTTAAATCTGTACAACAAATCTTACTACACAGCCCTTGTTTATCATACTTTTCCTGGTTAGTTCCCCATAACTTACCTCTCCCACCCAGAAGACTCGAACACGTTTTTTTTTGTTTGTTTAGCCTAAAATGGTATACAGGTTGAGTATCCATTATCCAAAATGTTTGAGACCAGAGGATTTCAGATTTGAAGGGTTTTTTTCCCCAGATTTTGGAATATTTGCATTATACTTATTGGTTAAACATCCTTAATCCAAAAACGTGAAATCTGAAATGCTCCAATGAGCATTTTCTTTGAGTGTCATGTCAGGGCTTATGATGTTTCAGATTTTGGAGCATTTTTGGATTTCAGATTTTGTATTAGGGATGCTAAACCTGTATAAACTTCAATCATCCTTGAGCCACATTTTTATTTGTAAACTCCCCAGTGTATGTACATAATTAAAGCTTTCTATCTCTTTTTAATCTGTCTTTTTTCAACTTATTTATTTACTTATTTGAGTTGTAGTCTCACTCTGTCACCCAGACTGGAGTGCAGTGGTACGCTCCCGGCCACTGCAGCCTCCACCTGTTGGGCTCCGGTGATCCTTCCGCCTTAGCCTTCCAAGTAGCTGGAGCTACAGGCGCTCGCTACCACACCCGGCTAATTTTTATTTTTTGTAGAGACGAAGTCTCACCAAGTTGCCTGGGTGGATCTCAAACCCGCAGGCTCAGGCAATTCACTTGCCTAGGCTTCCCAAAGTGCTGGGATCACAGGCTGAGCCACCGAGTCAGCCTTCTTTTTTCAATTTAATTCATGGGCCCCACCCAATAAATCTGTAAGGGCCAAGGGAATACTTCCCCTTCACCCTCTCAAGTGTTCACTGAAAAATTAACCAACAAAGGGCAGATTACTAGGAGAAATGGCATACAGATGCATTAATGTGTACAGGGGAGAATTGTACAGTGGTTAACCAAATATCCCAATGGGATCTAGATAGACACTTATATAGCATTTTGGGTAATATAGGTAACTCTGTTGAGAGGCAAAGAATGATTACTACAGGTAATGACTGGCTTGGGAAACAAAGGGTAACTTGTAAATGGTTCTCTTTGTAAACCAAATGAGCCTGAGGGACAAGCATTATCTTGCGACAGGGTCCTTCAGATGGTTACAAGTCTCAGTCTTCTTTTCCACAATAGATGATAATAACAGGGAGAGGAAGGAAAAACATCTGTTCTCCTTAGGGAATTTATCTGGGCTTTACATAGATGGAGAAAAGTCTCTTCCAGTATCTGTTGATCTTTAAGGACCTTTAACTCAAAATACTCATTACACCAGGGAACCATATTTTGGATTGAAATATTTTGGTCTCCTTCATACTTAAGGTAAGTAGAGGAAAACAATAACATATTTTTCTACCTTCCCTACATGTGACATAGGCATGTGGTGGGATAGTGGTTGCAAATGAAGGGTGTATAGAAATTCAAGGGTCAATGATACAGTTATGAAAAGGGGTCTACATTGTATTTTACTGACAAGAGGTGCGTAGGCCGCGTCTGAACTAATAAATATACCCAGATATCTGAAGATATTAAGAGTACAGGGAGCTGGGTGCTCCTAACTCCTTTAAACCTTAAAGGTACTCTCTTGTGACAGTAAAATATTAACCCTGCATTAAATTGGGCCTACGATCTTTGAAACATCAATAGACAGAAGGTAAGGGTAAATACAAATTAAAAATAAAAGACTTAATTCTCCATGCCAAAAATAAGAAAAGAGATATCTATCATCTCTCTCCCTCGTCTTTCAGAATTTCTTTCTCTGTCCTTCAAAAGTATGTAACTCTTTAAATTAGTTAAATAAGCCCCTTGCCTGGCTAATGGCTCACAGCTCAGAAAATCCTGGGAGCCATATTATTTATTATTTATTTCAGAGTCAAAGGGTATGTGTTCAAGTTTGTTACATAAGTGTACTGCATGATGGTGAGGTTTGGGCTTCTATTGAGACTGTCACCCAGGTGGTGGGCGTGATACTCAAATGGTGGTTTTCCAACCCTTGTCCTTCCTTCCTCTTTTAGAAGTTTCCAGTGTTTGCTGGTTCTGTACTGATGCTTGTGAGTATTCAGTGCTTAGCTTTCAAGGAGCCACCTTTCTGAATGCCAACATCTAGAGAAATAGCTTCCCTGTATCCCGGTTCCTGTGGGAGTGTAAGAGACTAACTTCAGTGGGTCACCTTGCTCCAATATGCAAAACTACCTGCTGTTGTAAAGAAAGAGAAGATTGTTTCTCCTTCAGATAAAAACCAGTTAGTTAACACAGACTGTCTTCCCAATTACCATGATAAAGTTAAGATAAATTATGGATGACTAAAGGTACTGTCAATCCCTTCTATTTGAGGTCCACTTACTGTTTATCTTGAAAATAATTGACTAGAGAAAGGGGAGGGATTCCTTTCTGTCTTTGCTGCCTCTTAGAGTGTGGTTTGTGATACTCATATCCTGGTTTATAGCTTATTCGATAATAAAAATGTTTTCTTTCTCTACTCCACCTATGGAAAATATTACTGAGCTGTGAGGAGATTTTGTTTTCAATTATATATTTATTCTAGCAAGAAACTGTTACCAAGGGTTCTTTTTTAACTGAGTGTTTACTTTCTGAGTCTCATAGTTTTGAGGTTGTGAGACTAACAAGAGTAATTACAACAAATTATTCACTATTAGAATAATTTTTATTCTAATAATTAATAATTTCCTTCTCGGGATTCGATTCATGATGTCAGGATTGGCTGGAATCCCATATCAGGTGAGTTGGCAGCTCCCCCTCCTGAGGACTCTATGATACATCCACTCAAACATCCTTCCTGATTTAAAGCTACTATCTAGCCTTCTCTGAGATCAGTGCGTTGATAGGCCAATCTTTCCATGGGTGTACAAATGAAAAGTGATTGCTATTTCAGTTTCTGCTGAAGATGCAGTCATTCATAAACTTGGTAAAAGTCATGTGGAACCACAGCTGTGTTGGTTCCCCAAAGCACTAAGGTGTATGGTCTAGTAAGATCTGTTAACATTTAAAAAAGGGAAATCAGTAATAGGGAAATCACTTGTTAGGCTCCCAAAAGACAATCCCAATGCCCTTCTCTCTAGACTGTTGCCCACTAATGGGTTTGAAAAAGCGAGACACTAGCTTTCCCAGCTACATGATCCAGGTCTGGGTAAAGAGATGCCAGAGGAATGAAGCTGGGGGTAGACTAGGGAATGACGATTCTGGGGAAAGGTTTCTCCTTTATCTGAGAGAAGGGAAGAACACTGGGGGTTATTGACAGAGTCAGTTCCATACTCCACCTACCCCCCAATTTCTTCCTTAACAAAGTCATGATGCTTGCAACTGTGGCTGCAGTTACCACATTAAACAAAAGCAATATTGGATTCATACTTTCTCCTACCAATTTCCTATGCTAATCTAACTTCCATCCATTTGTATTAATTTTCAAAAATAAAATATCGATTTTAAATAGAATTAAAAGAGTATTTTCTTCTTGAAACCTTTTATACTCAGTTAAGGAATGTCTACATTTAAGGGCTTATAGGCAATTACTTTTTTAAAGCTTGAGACTTTAGATATTCTTACCTTCTTCTGGAAGAACTTTCCAAATAGTTCTTTTAGTTATATCCAAAAGTAAAGAAAATGCCCTCCCTCTGTTCGGGGGCAAAAACTGTAAACTAATCTGGATGTATATTTTAGACAAAGAAGCAAAATGTTCTGTTTGGTAATGTAAAACATTCATGTGTCTCTGCAGACATTTTTAAAAGAAAATTGTTTCTTTAAAGGTTTGGACAGACTACCCTGTGTGTCCAGTGAGAATAGGATTGTGTTTCTGCTGAAGAACATAGAAATCTCCCCCAGCTACTTTCCTGGGAAGTGCCTGGAGGTAGGAAAATGGAGACTGGGCAGTAGGTCTTCTTCTGAAGAGGGGAATTTCCTTCCTTTGCATATGCAGCTAGATTATTCTTTGCTCCGACAGAGCTGCCCCTGCTATGTGCAGGTGGTCCTATGGCCATGAAAGGACATGTGTTATCAGGGTCTTCATGTGATTGAAACTGAGTCAATGGGTTCTGAGATTAACCACATCTAGTAACTGACATAAGACACTTTCTGTATTTCATTTTTCCATCCTAAAACCATCAGTTAAGTCCTGCCAGGTTGCAATCTTCTGTCCATTAGGCAGGGATGTGTGAGAAATGGTCTGTTTCCACAGCACTGAGTGGGAGAAGAGAAAACAGTCAGGACCTGCAGGAAACTGTGCACTGTACACTTCTGTGTGTTATCCCTGCGACAACCATTTCAAAATATGTCAAAAAAAATCTATTTTAGGGTAAAATATTTTTATTTCCTTCAGGATCAAGGAGACTGTGGCCCCTGCTGGCTCCAGTAGCTCTCAGGGTGCTCTACAGAGATGGCCAAACCACCTGTGAGGCAGCCTCCAAAAGACGACTGGATTCTCTGCTGACTAGTAGGACAGATGGGGGCTTGGAGTCATCATGACTTGACCTTTTTTTTTTTTTGAGTTGGAGTCTCACTCTGTTGCCCCGACCGGACAGCAGTGGCATGCTTCTGGCCACTGCAGTCTCAACCTGCTGGGCCCCGGCGATCCTTCTGCCTCAGCTTTCCAATAGCTGGAACTACAAGCATGTGCTACCATGCCCAGCTAATTTTTGACTTATTGTAGAGATGAGGTCTCGCCAAGTTGCCCAGGTGAGTCTCGAAC